TCCATATTTTCTTGAAATTCTTCAAATGTAAATGATTCAACCGAGGTATACTTATTTATTCAAAATATAATTATTAAAATCTGCTCCCAATAACTGATTATTGACCCCAATATTTTTGTATATAATATGTTAATCGAACATATTGTATACAAAAAATATTGAAGTCTTTAAAAGAAAACACGTTTCTTATATTTTTATAATGTCATCCAATTCTAAGCTATGTTCCGAACACGGAGCAAATATAAAGAGGAGACGGCCTAAGCGACTGTGCACTGTGATTCCAACTAGGTCCTGACGTCATCACAGTGGGCGTGGCTTTAGTTAGTATACTGTCAGCGTTCGTCCTGTGCGCATCGGTGTCGAAAATTGCAAATCAGTGTATTTTCGTATTATTAAGAAGAAAAGGATGAAGTGTTGTGTTTTATCGTGTAAAAACTACTCAGATAGACGCTCTGATGCTATGGATGGTATCACATTTCATGTGTAAGTAATTATATATCTAATTTCTTAAAATAATTCCAGAAAGATCTCTTTGCATCGGCTTTCAAATATAATTAAATATATTCGATACTAGACGGCAGCACTTTGTGTCGTGTGAACTAAAAATATAAAGGTAAGTCAAGCTCAGTATTGGTAAAACAATCATACGAAGGTGCTGAAATTGTTTTTTTTTTTTGAGATTGGTTTCAGTCCTAAAAAATTTTTAATCGCCAAAATATTATCTTTATAGATTTTATAATCATTTTGAAAACAGGCCGCCATCTACCGTCAAGTAAAAGAACAATCAAAAATAAAATAAAAAGACAGGGCCGTAATTAGAATCAAATTATTTTACCCAGTTACCCACGGCTTAAAATGAAGGAAATATTACTTAGGCTGATTTTTTACGAAAGGTCTACAATGTATATAAATACTTAAATATTTAGCATTTTGTAAAAGTCAACCTTCAAGAAATATTCATTTTATCCTTAGTAAAATAAAGTCTTCTTGAAATTAAATATTTTATGTACAGTATTCGGTCTCCTTGAAACTTTTCTTAAGAAAGGCAACGACTATAACAGTTGTAGTTCAGTTAGTTAAAAAGCTCACGTAGGTTATTTTATTTACTTTATATTCTAGTTTTCCATCCGAAGGTAATCTTAAACAGCAATGGATAGCAAAATTTAATAGAAAAGAACAAAGATTTGTTCGTGCCATTTCAATGATGACGACTTCACAGTTACAAAAAAAGGCTTTAAAAATTAAAGCAGGGAACTTTACCCACTATTAATCTGGATATATCGGTTCGTTTGGATGCACTTTGTATTTTACTAGTTTTCTTATTTTGGTAGAAGGAGTTAATTTCATATTGTTGTTTTATACTTTATATTATAGATTAAAAGAAAATTACCAGAGCCCTCAATATCACCACCTAGGCCTACCACAAGTGATTTAAATGAATTTTTAATATTTCACGATTCCCCTAGAAAGAAGAAGCTAAAGCGAGAGATAGAACAACTTCGATGGAAATCGAAAAAAGATGGGCTAAAAATCAGAAGACTTCAAATGAAAGTTAAACGTTTGAAAAAGAAGGTGCTTATATAGTGACACTAATTTCGCTTCACTTACAACTTTAAGATGTTTTTTTTTCTAAATTTAATAGGCTTTAAGTACGTTTCGCTTTTATTTTAGGTTCAAAATTTAACTGCCTTAATTACAGAATTGGAAAGGAAACATCTTTTACAGGGAGAGGATTCCGAAATTTTATCTTCAATAAATGTAAAGTTGAAAGACTTGGTTGGGCGTCAGTTATCAAAAATTAAAAAAGTTCCTTTGAAAAAGAAATATTCTCCAGCGCTTAGATCATTCGCTTTAACGCTTCATTATTTTTCGCCAAATGCGTACTCATACGTCAGGAAAACTTTCGATACATGCTTACTGCATCCAAGAACCATTTCTAAATGGTATGAAAGTGTCAATGGTGAAGCTGGATTTACAGCTGAGGCTTTTAATGTATTAAAGCACAAAACCAACTCATCACGTAAACGTGCTTTGTGTAGTCTTATTATGGATGAGATGGCTGTTAGGAAGCATGTTGAATGGGATGGAAATGAATATCACGGTTATGTTGATCTCGGGCTTAATGACGTACAAAAGGATAACTCGGATCAGGCGTCTCAAGCCTTAGTTTTGTTACTTGTATCTCAAACAGAACGGTGGAAATTACCTGTGGGTTATTTTCTGATTCGTTCTATGACCGGAGAACAACGGGCCTCAATAGTTCAACAATGCCTCTACAAATGCCAAGAAAATGGTGTAGACGTCGTTTCACTTACGATAGATGGTTGCGCTGCAAATATTGCTATTTAAATAAAAGTTAGGATGTTCGTCAGATCCTCAGAAAATAAAATCAACTTTTAAACACCCTAGTGCTGACTACGAAGTAGCAGTATTCCTCGACGCTGATGCTAAAACTAGTGCGCAATGCCTTTGAAAATAAAAATAAGTTTCTTGATTATCAGGGCAATTATATCGAATGGTCTTATCTCGTCAAACTTAATAACCTACAAAAGTCTGAAGGCCTCCATCTCGGGAACAAGTTAAGAAACAAGCATATACATTTTCAGCAACAAAAAATGAAAGTAAAATTAGCCAGTCAGCTTTTTAGTAATAGCGTAGCCGACGCACTCTAAGTTTGTGAAAAAAGTAATATTGAATTCATAAATGTGGCGGCTACAATTAGTTTTATCCGTCTTATTAACAATATCTTTGACATTCTTAACTCCAGAAACATGTGTCAGTATAAATTCAAAAAGCCCTTACTTGAAAAAAATATTTCGAAAACAAAAGATTATTTGGAATACGCTAAATATTACTTAATTTTTCTAGTAGCTCCTGACAAAGATAAGCCTATTATCGCTACAAATCAAAAAACTGTCTTTTAACATGTATCAATAGCACACTTTTCTTGTATGACCGCCTGATTGAAAAGGAAAACATACTAAAATATCTAACTCTATACAAATTTTCGCAAGATCATTTAGAACTATTTTTTGGGATAATAAGGGCACATGGGAGGACAAATAATAATCCAACCTCACGTCAGTTTAAAGCAGCTTACAAAAAACCCTGATAAATGCAGAACTGAAAGAAGGTTTCAGAGGAAATTGTATTCCTTTAGAGGATATTTCTATTTTGAATGAATCTTCGGTAAAAAATTAATATTACTTCAGAACGTTATCGAATTTTGCAAAATGACTAATAAAAAAAATAAAATTGTATCGAATACATTAAAGTCTCTTATTGGACAAGATTATTTCAAACAATCGGTCAATCATATGTTTGACCAATCACCGGCTGATAATCATATTATACTTTTAATTAAATTTATAGCTGAAAATATATAGATATTCGTTTTAAGCATTTTGCTACCATAGAAAACGATAGGGCATCAAACCGACAACAACTAACCAAAACAGTTATTTTTGCGGGTAATTGAATTTAAAATAGAATTTAGTACTGTATGTCGAGTGCGAGCGCAACAAAATAATTTAAATAACTTTACGATAGCGTTAATCTAGTTTATGTTTATATATTACTTGTTCTTCCATAGAAATATTAAGTAGTATACCGACACATACATACGACATAATAGTCCAGCCGTTAGTCAGCGTGAAAAAATAACACATTTACAGTACATAATCGTGGTAAGATCAAGGAGAAAGAACACACAAACTTTCGCTTTTATAATATTAGTGAAATTATTAGGATTATTGTTATAGTAGGAGTAGGATTTTTTTTTTTCATAATAATATCGGTATTTCAATTTAGAAAAAAGATGTAATTACAAGACGATTCACAAAATTAATCTTGAAATAAATACTCCCTGGTACGAAATTTCTGAGTACGTCCCCTTATATCCCACACCAAGCGTAAGGTAGCTAAACTACATTGCAACATCGATATGGAACGATGCGAGTAGTTTTACTATTTACCGGTAGATGGAAAATAGTTAAGTGGGCGGCGCTTAATACCCCTTCACCCCGCAAATTGTCACGCGTTGTTACATTGTGAAATCTAATTATAACACCTCCTCTTTATATTTGATCCGTGGTTCCGAATTTCAAGTTTCGAGCATATTGGGAAGTTAGCTTAAAATCAATTAGTAAATTCGACCCGAAAAGACGTACCAGAAAGGTAAAAGGTACCAGGTAAAAAAAATTTATTCAAACACCTCCCCCTTTTTTCAGTCCGTTAAAAATATACTATTCTTATCGAACACAATACACACAAGACAATTCTATACGAAACTATTGTTTTATAACATTAGAATGATGAACGAGATAATAATTTACTAAGTAGCAAGAGTCAAATTTCTCTCAAAGTCCCGTAGACGAAAATCTGACTCTACCGGAGAAAGATCAGGCGTAGAACCAACGAGTTTACATGTTTTCTTAGGCATGGGGATAAAACGCTTCTAAATTTTTAATTTTCATTTTTCGATTCTATTATGAAACTTCGATTTCATTTCAGCATTTGAACTCAGTACCACATGATCAGCATTTGTATTTCCAACCACTAGACCAAAAGGCAGTTAATCACCTTTATTAACCTACCAACTGCCGGTATACCTTTTCTTTCTATGACGATTATTCTCACCACCCTGGGCGGGTCATACGCAAGCATTGATAATGCTGCACCCTACTACGAGTATTCTTTATAGTATCTTCATAATTCCATAAAATTGCACTGTATGTCATGAGCCTCTTCCATTGTTGGAAGGGTTTGATTTAATTGTTATTAGTTGGTGAGATCGCAGTACAGGACGTTTTGCATCATTGACGCTGCTACTCATCGTCAGTACTGTTCACGATTTACAACGACGTTTTCGTAATTTAGTATGCTGCATAGTTTACAGGTATGGTATTAATTTAGAGAAAAAACTGAACATCCGTCTTACGCACTTATCATTTAAAAAATTATCATGGATTGAATAATGGGAGAAATTTTTTTTATCTTACCCTTTGCACATTTGTCAAAATCATTGGTAATCGGCATAGAAGGATCACAGCGGCAGATGTTGTCATCACATATCGAATCAGGATACCCACATTCCACCACCGTGGTACAGGAGTCGCCGTACATCTTCTTGCCACGTTGAGAAGGATCTAAAAGAGAAGGTTTATATAATAGCAAAAAGAAATTGTCTTGGAGATACGATATAAAATAGGCAATTAAATAAGTGTGATTAAAAAAGAACTCGAGTGCAATGATACGACTCATATTTCTAAAGTAGTCATTCCTTACACGTGACCACACACAAGATAATAGCATATATATATATATATATATATATATATATATATATATATATATATATATACTACCGCCGCCCATGATCAACCGTAACACCAGGGGTGGTAATACCACGTGTTAATCAGCGTCCAAAAAGCAGCGAGCTCGGACCACGTTTAGCTAAACAAGATGGGTTTCGATGAAAAATTTTGAAACAAGTGAGGGGTAGCTAGGCCATCGCTCACACAATCACAAAACCAATGTCCCATTAGACGCCTTTTACGAAATGCTAGAAAAGCAGCACAGATGGGATATTCTTTTTAGCCAACTGCCCCATAATATTATATAAGAAATGTTTTTATATTAATTAGTAAATATTGTAAAATCAAGGTGGAAAATTAATAACGTTTTTAATGCACAAAAAATGTGTTTGTGCCTTTCATGGTTTTGGTCCAGATGTCTCCTGCCAACCTTTATTTAAGCCACTGAGGATCTTACCCGTGCCTTGTTTGTATATCTTAGAAGTTACCAAATTTGTAAAACAGCACGAGAAGGCTTTTTATAAACTTAATAAAAATGATATTCAAACACGAGATAACCAGATCGGATAATACGCGAAACATCAAAGTCAGTCATCAATTAAACGCTTTAGAAAAAGTTGTTAGGTACTGGATGGGTAAAACATTGTACAATAAAATAGCACACACAATTAAAGATATTCCTTTATGTGGTAACACATAATGGGAAATTTTACAAAGGTGGTGTGGGCAACACTCTCTCTCTCTCTCTCTCTCGCTCTCTGGACAAGTTAAGCGAATGTAAGTGCTAAGTGTGTACTAATGAAATTCGTGAATAAATTAATTTCGCGTTTCAATGAACATATCAAATTATTATTATAACCTAGTAATATAAATAACTAGAAAAATCAAATTCAACACTTTACAAAAATTAAAAAAAAAATTACACCAGTGTGGCTTCTACAAAATACATCTTACTCGGATAATGAGCTTCTAAATTACTGATAATAACTTTTTAGGACTATAGCTCATAATTGACACCTTATAATTAACTGAGATGGTATATAATATTGGTTAACAAAATTTCGGTCCCTCACAGAGTCCCAGTTGCCTCAGATGACCCGAGAGTCTGACTGGGATTGTCCCGTTTGCAGAAACGATTACAGGAAGTTTCTGGCTACTAGGTTGTGCCTGTGCAAGTACTAAGAGTTAGAAAGCGCCGAACAACTTATTATTATTAATTTATTTATGCTCTTGACACCTACATATAGTTGGAAGCATTGTTTATTGTTACTTATTTAATGATTTGATATGATTAATTTATATATAATATCCTCCAGACCGAATTTCGGCCACGGCGGCCTGCCTCGACGGAGGCTAGCCATCGGCGCACGACAGGATTATAGTGCCCAAGTGTATGCGCAAGCACAGGTGCACTCTCTCTTCCCTCACTCTCATAATCCGATGTGACGATAAACCGACACGACCGGAGTGAGATCAGGCACAGGACCAACGGCTTTACGTGCTTTCCGAGGTACAGGGGAGCGACACCGCCAACTTCCTGCCTTGGAGCAACTACTGAGAATTTCTTGACGGAAAAACTAAATAATTAATCTTTTGCCCGACCCGGGATTCGAACCTAGGACCTCATGATCATCAGTCGCACTACTACAACCACTAGACCAACGAGGCAGTCATATATATATATATATATATATATATATATATATATATATATATATATATATATACTTATTCTATTAGGGACTTAGAATGTAAGACTTAATATTTAGTAGTATCTCATGTAACATACATATTAAAAAGCAAATAAATATATAGTGCTGCAAAAGCCACAGCGTAATACTTCGTGAAAAGACGTGCAGAGAGGCTTATTTATGACCTTGATTTGGTTGAAAGCAATCATGTCAGCATTATCATAAACATCGAACCAGAAGGTCAGCGGGTCTCCACACTTTGTTGTGAATATTCCACGCATATGAACCAAACGGTTTACTTCCACGTTCATAATGCGTACAGCAGAGAATAGAAATAATTTGCCGATATACGTCTTTCCATTCGGTTACAGTCTGGTGTCTTTAATGGAAGAGTAATTAGGTTTTTATTACGCTAAGACAGTGCAATTACAGTCGGGATTGCAAAACTAGCATAAACTAGTGTGTGCTTGGCACATAGGCATACTGAAAGTTCGAATATATATAAATATTTGAATTTCGAATAGTATTTTTATATAAAACACAAAGTACTAAATTGATTCAAAAAAAATTAGGCGTGAAGTCGCCTGTCGGTATAACTTTTATCAAGTTGAAGTACGTTGAATTGGTTTTAGTGGCTTATGGCAAATAAATAGGCTTTTTTCTTGAAGAAAACTTAGTCGATATATATATATATATATATATATATATATATAGATATTTTTGAGGCTGGCAACACTCCTGTGATTACTACTAAACTGATGTGTTTGAAAATTAACACAGAAATTTTACCAAATTCCGTAGTTGTAGACATATTAAGTGCCGAGCTCAGCGGCGGACAAGAAAGCAGGAGAGTCGCGAGCGCGGCGAGCCAGGCCGCGGTCCTCCTGCAGTGAGCGCCCCGCATTTCGCTCACTAGACCTCCGTCACATATCGCGAAAACGCCTGAAATCAAGATATTATTCGTTTTATTACGAAATCTCCTTTCAACATTTATTTCGAACTCGATTGAATTTGAACTTTACAGTCCACCTAATAAATCAGGCTACTGCAGGCCATGGTCACCTGCAGCCAACTACACACAAAAACGACTACAGAGGCGTTGTCACCTCTAAGGACTAAGATGGAACGCCTTGCAACTATTAATTATATAGTCCTTTATAACCCTCAGACCTAAACACAGCAGAACGCGCACTGTTGCTTGGCAATATCGTAAAGTACACTCGTAAGTTAACACATTACTTCCTATATTCCTGCAAATAATTTTATAAATATTTAATTTAAAAAAAAAACTTCATTAGTCTGTAAAAGTACTGTAGTAGTAAGAGAATACAGTGTGTGCATGTACGTATCTTATTTATGTTCGTGGTTCATTTTCACCTTGCATATCTCAATAAGAAAACTCACGGTCTTTCTATAGCTCGCTGAGCGACCTCGAAGCTTCTCTGCGTGATAGACTTAGAAATAAGAGTTTTACTTAGTAGAGCCATGCTGTAACTATACTCGACCGGCTAACTATGGCTCGACCAGGGAAGGGCCACGCTCTCACAGAATACCAGCGTAAAACAACAGCTTAACGCTGCTGTGTTTCGTATGGTTAGTGTAGAGAACCGGAAACCTTTATTACTAGAAACGTGGCATTCCATCTTAGTCCTCACTGGTGACAACGTATCTGCACTTTAATTCGTAATCGAAGATAGATGTAGATTTTTATAAGCTACACCAACCACTTACCATCAGGTGGACCGTGTGCTCGTTCGTCACCCTTATCCTATAAAAAAGGAGAGTTATCGACATGGCCCAACGGATCAGTATCAGTAGATTGGTTTCAGTTGATATGCAATTATGTACCTATTTAGAACTCGATTAAGATTTTATAAAAATCGGTCCCATCCCATCATCATACCAAGTCTATAATAATATAATGATTAGCCACATGCACCAACTTAAACAAATAAGTAGAAAAAAACCTATTCTACTTGTTTACGTACCCACTTAATTTTAACTCGTATCTTATTATTAAATTTATTGTTTTAAATCTACTTGAAAACTTAATATGTGCAAGTCAGTCATAAGAATATATTATTTATCTTAGAAGATTATCTAGCAATACTTAAATAAGATGACATTTTAAATTAGGGATGCCCTAGGGAAGTTTATCGACCAGATGGGCGATATGTTGAAGATGGGTCTAATTAAGAGTATATTTAATTGACGAGCATTTATGCGTAAGTACTAAGGTTGTAAAAGGGGCGAGACAGATGTGCCAGGAGCATGACAAATGGAAGTCTGTAACCTCTGCCTACCCATTTGGTGAGCCCACCAACCCGTAAGAGTACGGAACAACGAGGGGAAGGGTATCACCCATGAGGAGTATGGTGGAATGTATTATAACCTGTTATTTAGGCTATCTACACTCCTTAAATCAGAATATATCAATTGGTAATAGTGAGCGTGGTAGTCCAGATGCTTAGTGTTTGCCGTGAATTTCACAGTACGCGAGTAGTCCGGATTCGCTCCCAGCGGTGCTTATGTATATAATTAATTTTAAATGTTGTTTTACCACATGCTCGGCGATGGAGGAAAACAACTTGATGCAGCATACAGACCTGAGGAATCAAATGTTTTGAGATCATGTGAACTAAGCCAAGACGGGTTGAAGCAATAGGGCGGAGTTATTGCTCCAAATACTCAGAAACGAGTGCTTGTGCCCAGCAGTGGGACATACATATATAGATAGTAACTTTATTTTATTGCTTTACGGAAAACGGTGAACTACTTACTGTTTAGCAGCTGAAATAGGTAAGAGAGTTAGTAAACCCTAAGGGTTAAATTCTACCATCTTGTAAAATATTGTAACATAGTAAATATAAGTGTTACGAAAAGAAATAGTAAACACATCGACAGTAATATACTGTGTCCTATATTATACTTAACGTCTTATGACTATTTATAATAATAATAAAATATTGAGAATCGTTAACGACTATTCAAATAATATTCCTTTAAAACAGTCGCCTAAATTTCATGAAATCACCACATAAATCATAACTAACTTTACTTTGATATACTGAAAACGTACTCTACTATTATTTTCATCAACCTTTCATTTTTAGACATTAATGCGTTGATTTGTATTTAACATTTAGTACTTCTTTGTCGTTAAGGCCCATTAGTTTCGAAATAATAACACATAATATATTATGAGAGTAACCAACATTTCTCAGAAGCAATTCTTTAAAAACTTGGCAACTATAATTTATACCATTTTTACTCAACCACGAATAGATACTGAGTTGATGTAAAGTTATACTTATTGAAAGATTTATAGTTTTACGAAAATGTTGTGGGAGACGACGAGTCTCTAATTAATTAATTAATAAAAATAAAGAATAAAAAAGGAATGTTATTAACATTACTAACACTCCCTTTAACTATTCCAGGTTAGCTTAAAATGCTCGTGTTGGGAGTGGTTCACTAGTTCGCGGTTCGTACCCTACCATTAGGCTACTGTCGTTTTTTAATTATTAATAACAACTCGACATACAAGCTTAAAATATTTTTTTACTTAGTCGTAAAACACTCAAGTCAATTATTACATAACTTTAACGTAATATAACTTTACTAAATGTATTCCTTCAAACTGTAAAATATTGTATGTGAATGAAAAAACATGGAAAGAGTGTCAAAGCAAATTTATATTGCAGATGTGAAAAGTAGAGTCGGGAAGGGTCGCTTTAGACGAAGGTTTATTTACCAAATTGTCGATATATTTAAAATGGCCAAAATTAGCAGTATCCTTAACCGACGAGCATATATGCGTAGATATATAGATGTAAAAGAGGCGATAGAGGTGTGTCAGGATTGTGCCAAATGAAAGTCCGTAGTCTTTGCATACCCCTCTGGGTGATAGCGTATGTATATGTATGTATTCAAAAAATATTCAAGTTGTTTACTTTATTTTTGAGGAAATCCATTATAGATGTCATAAATTAATTAACTAGGACCCTCCAAACGAACCACGATGACGAAACACGTATCAAACGACTGTGGTGAGCCTTTCAATAGTAGTGTTGTTGGGATTACTGGTGACGAGAATAGCGAACAATTGAGAGAGGGCAAAAGGTGCTCTTCAATCTAGGTAAGTCACGTCATTTTTATTAAGTAGTTAACTATTAACATAGTCTTATTAAATATTATAAAACTATATAATATCATAAGAAATTATACCTTTTCTGATGTTGTAAGATACTCTCAAAATTATTATTTTTAATAGAAGAGTGGGCAAACGAGCATATAGCTCACCTATATTGAATATTAGAATATTGCCATCCATAAATGAATGTAACACCAAGTGAATTGCAGATGCGTTGCCGGCTTTTAAAAAAAGAGTAAGCTCTCTTCTTGAAATCCGCTAAGTCGTTTCAGTCCGAAAAAATTGCCGGTGGTAAACAACTGCACAATGAGGTCGTAATAAGAAAAAAACTCCTAATAAAACGCACGGTAGTGAACCGCCAAACATCTAGTTTTTGTGGATGGTATCGTGAGTATTCAAATAAGAGGATATAACTCGATAACAACTTTATGCTATTACACAAGTGGAGCATAACAATTATTAGATTTATTAATAAAGCGATCGTTCAATAATGTTGTATTTTTATTAAAAATGTTAAGTTAGTAAATATTTTAGCATAATTTTCATTCTATAAATATGATGTTATTTTTTTTATTTATTTTTCACCCTATCAGAGTACATTGTCGAATATAGACCTCCCCATAGAATGTCTATAAGAGGATGTTTTACAAAGTTGTTACGCTTGACAGGCAGCTTGGCAAACAGAATTTTTTTTTCGTTATTATTATGAAGATCCTCATGTCCATCTCCTGGTTTGCTTTCCTGTGTCACCTCTTAATGTTAGATTTTAATTCTCTGTTAACCAAAATCGAGTATCTATGGAATTAATCATTCTTACGTAACTTAATCGAATTGTTGATTTTTTTTAATTTGATAACGATGGTAATGTTCTTCTAGACGTTTACTAACCTTGAGTTCTACTCGACATATAGATAGCTCCGAATTTAGTAATTCGATCGCAACACATCCAAGTCACTTAGGTACCTATATTTAGAGCTTGAATGACACACATCGGTGTATGAATCAAGTTTGGAAAAGAGAAGGGCAACTCACAGGCGGTCTATTATTACACGAACTATTTCGAGCCATTTTGGAGTGTAATTTTGCATTACTAATAAGGACGCAATGAATATTAAATTTGAGGAATCAGCATCAAGCTTATAGCTCTTGAGTTATTAAGGTCTAAAAAATGCCATTTTTATCTCTTGCTGACTCATTTTTCAAAAATCTAAACCACTGCTAGATGACTTAAAATTATGATTCAACTTGACATTTGCAATCCAAAAACTTAAGATTATCAATATTTAGTACCTACAAAGGTGTTGGTGCGATTAGTTTCAAGTAATTTACTTAAGACTCCAACACCAATAACTTTCTCGACTTATAATTCTTATCTCTATCTATTTTTCTTCTTCTTTTTAACCTTTTTTTTATTCTTTTATACTACTGCTGTTCATGCAGTACTTTTCTTTCTTTTAGCTTTTACATCTTATTTTATTCTTTCCATATTTCTTTTTTTCCATTTTTTTTATTTTTTATAATTTTTTTTTGTTTTATTATTTACAATTAAGTTCCTTATAAGTTTTGCTTACTGCTATTATAGTTTTATACATTTCTACCTCTCTTTTTAATCTACTAATCTTCATGTAGCTTTTTGCTAATACATTACTAATAATTATTATTTTTTAATTGAAATTTCATTATTTATTACTATATCTACTTACTAATACATTACTTATGATTTTATCTAGATAGTATACTATAAAGGTCTTACTATAAAATTATATAATTATTTAAGAAGGTTTATCTCTTATACTATATATATATATATATATATATATATATATATATATATATATATATATATATATATATATATATATATATTCCTAATCTACCCTGTATACATTGATATTATACTTTAGTTAATAATATTATCAAACCCTTATTACAAAAAATAACATCTCACTAAAAACATAAATGTAAAAGGCCGGGCTACGTTCGTAACAAACGATGGTCATCGATTGCTTAGGCTTCTCAAATTACTTTTGAAACTTCTGTTGAGCTTAACGCTTGTCCAGATCTCATCTACTTCTCATCTCTTTTCTAAGCTTATCACGCAAAGAAACACCGAGCATATCTCTCTACATAAATCGCTGAGCGACCTTAAGTTTCTTCATACAGCCATCAGTGAAAGATCACTTCTCAGATCCATAAGTGGCATTACTGGCAACACGCACTGATTATACGGTCTCGTTTTCAAGTTTTAAGATATAACTGACAAGAAGATGTGCTGTAATTTCCCCAACGCCCAGCCGAGTTAAATCCGTTGATTGACCTCTCGGTCAAAGTTGGACTATTTGTCCCAGGTAAACATACTCGTCTACATAATGATTTATTATATTTACGAGACTACACATTGATTAAAACTACTTATACTGATTTTATTTCGTTTAATTAACTTATTTTTAACTCCCGACGTTTTGGGTGCTTTACTACACCCATGGTCACGGGGAGAACTTAAATGTTTTACGTCCCAATGTCATAGCTAGTCCGGCTACTTTTTATTTCGATCTACGCAAAACGAGGTTACAGTATCTTGAAGTTTAGCTGCAGCACCCATCCATCTTTTCTATTGAAATTAGGATGATTTTTAATTTCAATAGCCTCGCGTATCTTTTTTGCTCGGAATCGGTGTTTTTTGCGAGGATTTGTGATTTATTAAATTTGATGTAATGTGTGGAGACGGCTTTGAACGTATTCACAGATTACAGACTTCCCGGAGCATCGGTGCCTCACCTCAGCTATATGTTCTTTCACGCGGGTTTTTATCATTATAGATAATTTTTGTTTGTCATATAAAAGAGAGACCACATTCACAATCTAGCTTGTAAGCTCCTGAACCTTGTAGAGAAATATTACACTTGATAGATGGTAAAAATTGACTAATCTTCATCAGCGGCTTGTAGTATGTGTTAATGAAAGCTCGCCTCAAAATGTAGCCAAACATGTCTGTCTGAATCCTCTGACATATGGTAGTGCAGCAGGCACACGCTAGACTGTGGCCGGTTTCACTCGGTAACTGTGACGTAAGCGCGGGACCCGAAGCTTGTTGGTTTGCAATATTTGCTTGACATGTTGAAGCTCGGCGGCTAGAGTTTTCTGTTACAGAACTCTTGTATTCTCTGAAACAAAGATTTAACTACGGTAGCTAACTATGACGGATGATGCTGAGATTCACCATTTAAATATCTGTTGGTATGGTGGGTCTTTTTTCAATACACAGACTAATAGTGTAATTAGGATTTCGGATGATTAAAAAATTTAGAAGAGCTAAAAAGTTATTTGCCTCCAACTCCATAGTAAATTGTATTTTAAAGTAAGGAGTTAAAACTTCCGTCTAGCTTTGCTATTTTACTTTTTTTTACAGTGATTAGAGGGGGCACTCTCCCCCTTGCATAAATACGTTCAAGATCACAGTTGAAGGTTGCTATACTTCGTTAAATATACAACTTATTAATTTTTTTTCCAAAAATATTTCTTTTACTTTTGCCGTGATAGTATAAGGTTTTACCTTTTTATATCTCATAAATGTCGATTAGTAATGTTTATACGGGTTGTATGTTTAAAAAGGGTGTATACAACCGAAGGAAAACAAAAACTGCCTCTTCATACAAATTTCGCCTCTACTTTGTACATTTTGTATGAAGAATCTGTTAATTTTTTTCTATTTTCAATTTTTTTTGTATTAAATGTGGTTCCGCTCTATGATACCAGCTCCTCCCTTCATATCGGATATATATGATTTTTTATACAATCTGTTCATACAAATAATGCTTGTACCTGTTTTAAAAAAAGAGAAATCGTATAGGGAAGTTATTATATATAAAAATAATATATATATATATATATATATATATATATATATATATAGTAAGTAAGTAAGTAACGTTTAGCAACACTGCACACGTCTGAATGCCGAGAAATCTCATCGGAACTGAGAGAATTTTCAGGCGTTTCTGGATTATAAATGGCATAAATATAGTTGGTAAAAGGTACGAAAATACTTATTTTTATAATTTTATTTATTTCCAATTCATTTGAAAATAGTTCTACTTTATATGGTTTTAAGTACGACTTTGCTACATTTATACTTCTAATAGAAAAAAATAGATATTAGCAGTAAAAAATTAATAAAATTACAATTTTTAAACCCTTCAAATAATAAAATTAAAGCATTTCTAAAAAGTGACCAGATCTGATTATTGAAGACAATATGTAAATAAATTTGATCTAAATACTTTTCTTGATATTTTATACAAAGCAGAGGCTTTAATAAGACCTTTTACGCATGTAAGCATAGACATGTTTAACGCCTAATAGACCTATTAATTTCAACACCAAAATAAAATTAAAAAACAGTTTCGAAAATTTCAAATCCTTTACTTTAAATAAGTGTAAATTACGTTTCAATTTTTCTTTTTTAAATACCATAAAAAATATTTGTTTTTCCTTAAATTTTGCGACAACACTAATTTTTACAAGCCTGGGCTCTTATGGTGGTCTAAAAATGCAGTTATTTTGTCCGATGGTAAAATTGTGGAAGTGTTGTTACGTACCGCTTGTAGAATCTTGGATTTACTTGAGCAATAAGAAGGAATTTCTCCTCAAAGTCCTCCATAAATATGTCGGCGACTATGGGAGATACACGTGAGTCCATCGCCACACCATCTACTTGCTTGTAGAACTCTTCCTTCCATAATACATAGCAAATGTGAGGTCTCGAGTAACATTGCATATTCTTCAGAGATGTTGTTTTCTTTTGGCTTCCTGATTACAACTGTGATGCAGTCATCAATAGGTAGGCAGGTAAATAGTGACTAAACATCGAATAATACTCGGATTGGGGCGACTAAAACTAGTCCAATTCAATCCCCAGAAGATACAAGTTTACTACCAAAAAGAATCCCTTTGTCGTATCTCCTCTGTTTCAAGGCACTTCCCTTGCTGCCTCAGCTAACAGTGTAGTTTCATGGTCACTTGGTAGGGAAGGACAATATGACCTCTTAAAAACTTGGTATGCTCAGCAGAGCGAGATAGTATTTCATGCCGGCACATCGCTTGCAACTTTAAAAAGCGCAAGTTCGGCCTCACATGGATTACTGTTCTCTTATCTGGGGCGGGTACCCCAGTGCCAGCTTCGTCCAGTTGATTGCATGCAGTGTAGAGCGGTTCAAATTGTCGACGACCAAGTTCTTTTTGATCGGCTCGATTTACTGGCGCGGTGTAGAGATGTTACATTCCATTGGATTTTCTATCGCATTTACCACGGGGAGTGCTTTGGGAAATTGTACGGAATAATTCCAGCCACCAAATTTCACGATACCATCGTGGGGCAGTTTACAAACATAAATTTCACAAGAACAAACATCCAGACCCGCAACAATTACTTGTAGGCCATACAAATACTTGTTCCGTGTGGGATTCGAGCCCGCGGCCCTTAGCACTGGAACTCATTGCTAAGACGCTGCGCCACGGAGCCGTCAAAGTATAGTAAGTAATAAATGTTATTATAAGTTTTTAAGTGTATTGAATTACGGCGATCATGCCAAGCGTCACCAATTAACCAACTATTGTCCGGTTGATAAACAATTTACTGACAAAGTTTTAATCGCATTAATACTAATTGTGGCATAGGCGTGTAACAAATAACTATTCAATTGTACCGACTTTTATTTTATGAAACTACTTTTGTAAGGAAAAAGCCATGATAGCTCAGGGCCTAAGCGATCGCTGTAAATTACACAGTACGCAAGCTAACCTGGTTCGATGACCGCCGACACCAATAATATTATTGATTGGAATTGTAAAGGAAAATTACTTGAGATAACCAGCATGTCTGAGAAATTAAAAATAATATTTTAAAGACATCTCAAGACCGCCAACACCCATTTGGAAATTTGGCTCACTACTTTGCTTTAAAATCCTCTCAGTAAGAGGAGGTCTGTACCCAGGAGTAGGAAGATTATAGGTTGTAACTTCTTAAATCTTCTTTAACCTTTGTTATGTAAAAGGGCTTTTTTACAAAAAGTTGTTATTTCTTAATTTACTGCTTTACCATTCTGTAATAGTCTACTACTAGAAGTGGAAGAAATTTATTTCTCCATAGTATAATAATAGTTTATCGCCGAATCATTTGATAACTAGATCTCTGGTTCTGTTTTACCTGAACCAAAGTATAAACTCTTTTCACGCGTGGACTTGTTCCATTACTGTTATTAATAAATTTCACTGAAGATGGAAAATGATTAAAACAACTTGCACAATACGAAAGAAAAGAGAGATTTATAGCTATATACATATAATGTAAAGTAGGCAGTAAGAATCCTTTTACTGCCTAGAGTATCGTCTGGGCAGGTAGAGGATAAAGGGTGGTCCTCTTAAGTAGTTCTATCAAATAGTGAAAGGGCTTAGAGAGAGAGAGAGAGAGAGAGAGTCAGAATGATTGCAGGCTATGAGGCACTACATCTTAGTCTTGAAGGGTGGCAAGGTATCTGTAACCTTCTTTGTTTGATGTTCTCCATGACTGCAGAAGCCACTTACTTTCAAGTGG